ATTCCCCTGGGCGTGGAAGAAAGGGCCACGAGAACTAAGCACTGAGGCAACCCTCCCTGCCCTCCCTCTCACGATCGGCCTACGTAATCACGACATTGGTGTGATGTAGGGAACGGAAAACCCAGGCGCCCGGAGTTCACTGTGAATGTGTGAAGCCACCCTGTGCAGTGTCAATCCCTCCCTCTATCCATCCCACCCAGCGGTGTCTTTCTAGCGCCCGAGGCGGACAAAGGCCTTTTCTGTCCCAGACGGCCTTCGAGCCGGAACTGTCTGGAACTGCGCTGGCTGAGGCCTTGAACCAGTACCCCTTTCTCAGAGGCTTTCTGGCTCACGGACAAAGATGAACCGGAACATTCTCCACCTGTGGCTCCTCCCCCATCGCCTTCCACCCCTGAACTGCTCTCCGACAGGCTTCTTGCCCTCACCTGGTGGCAGGGAGGTTTGAGGAAGGTGATAACCATAGAATCGTAGAACGTTAGAGTTGGAAGGGACCTTGAAGGTCATCTAGTCCAACCCCCTGCACTCTGCAGGAGCAGAGCCGAATCAACTCTAATCTAGAACATCTAAGCTAGGACATCGCTAGCCTCAAAATGGAATGTTATGTCCAGCAAAGGAGCCTCCACCACCTCCCGAGGCAGACTGTTCCACTGCTCAACCACCCTTACAGTTAGGAAATTTCTCCTGATATTTAGCTGGTAACGACTCCCTTGTAATTTCCACCCATGAGATCTAGTCTTGCAATCCGGAGCAAGAGAGAAGAGATCCGCTCCCTCTTCTACATGACAGCCCTTCAGATACTTGAAGACTGCAATCGTGTCCCCTCTAAGCCTTCTCTTTCCCAGGCTAACAGACCCAACTCTTTCAGCCTTTCCTCAGAAGACTTGGATTCCAACCCTCTCACCATCCTGGTTGCCCTTTTCTGGACACGCTCGAGCTTGTCAACCTCCTTCCTCAAATGTGGTGCCCAGAACTGGACACAGGACTCCAGGTGAGGCCTGACCAGAGCAGAACAGAGCGGAACGACCACCTCCCGCATGATCTGGGCACAGTGCAGAAGTTCATGCACCCGAAGATTGCATTCGCTTTATTCGCAGCCACATCACACTGTTGGCCCACCTATCACCTTGAGCCTGTTTTTTGGAAAGGTGTCCAAGCAGCGCTTGAGAGAGTCCCTAAAAGGAAAAGTGAAGACTGCTCTTCCCAGACCGAGGCCCTCAGTGTTCGGGGGAGGCCCTTTGCCGTTAGGCCGAAGCCTGCCGGGTTCCAGTCCTCAAACGTCCCTCGTTAAAAAGCCCGTCCGTTTTCAGCGCTGGCACCTCGAAGAGAGGGATCCAGGGTGCCGGCGTCTGAGGAAGACTTGGTCACTCGCTGGTAACCCAGAACACACTATGGGGGGACAGAGAAGGACGGGGCGGCCACAGAGGAGTCCTTCACCACCCGACCCCAGGACGGGGGCTACGTCCACAGGACCAACTTCCGACACTGGTCCACGCTTCCAATGTACAGCCCGGAGGGAGACCAGGCCACCGCGTTCACTGAAGACCTGGAGGAAAGGGAAGAGAAAAACAGCCCACCAGTCACATCTGTCCCTTTCAGGCCGCGAACAGAATCCGCCCAGAAGGGTTGACATTTGCCACCAGCGGTCTTCCACTGCAGCTCTTGGGAGCACCACGCCACTGAGGGGGTGGCACAGGGTTGGAGGGCTACACACACACGAAGGGGCCATATCACCTCCTGCCTGGCTCTCCAGGGTCTCAGGCAGGGGTCTTTCCCATCACCTCCTGCCTGGTCCTTTCAAACTGGAGATGCCGGGGATTGAACCTGGGACCTTCTGCATGCCAAGCAGAGACTCTTCCACTGAGCCACGGCCCCTCAACCCTTGGAAATACAAGCGATACAGAATGGACCGCCCAGGCTAGCACGATCCTGTCGGATCTCCGACGCTAAGCAGGGTCGGCCCTGTTTAGCATCGGGATGGGAGACCACCAAGGAAGTCCGGGGTCAGGATGCTTGCCTTGAAAACATTACCGGGTTGCCATCATTTATTTATTTATTTATTGGACTTTTACCCCGCCCTCCCGCCGAGGCGGCTCAGGGCGGCTTACAGTAGTTGAACCTGGCCGCGCCTTGAGGACTCTTCCCACCCAGACGTTTGTCCCCTGGGACTCAAGGGGATTATGCACTGAAGATCAAGAGGGTAACACCTCAGACAAGCGGGTTCCGTTGACGAGGGTCGCAGAAATACGAAACGAGCATTCGGCACAAGTCAGCCTGCAGACACGACGCGGAAGGACCACGCTCTTTCACTCAGCTTGCAACTCTATGACCTCACCCCTCCCACCCACCCCGGTCTCAGCTCCGTGGTTTCGCGGCCTCCCCCTCTGAGCGGCTCACCCGTGAACCGCTGCCAAGCTGCTCTCCAGATGGCCCGTCTCGATGTTCCAGAGGAAGAGGGTGCCGTCGGCAGAACCCACCAAGGCGTAGCTCTTGTCCGGGCTGGAGCGGAAGAGAAGAAACTGGAGTCTCAGTGCGGCACCAGAGAGGGGGGATCTCTGGCCGCCCTGGAGTGGGGCTCGGTGGAATCAACGGACTGGGGCTAAGGGGGTACGGGGCCCTGCAGAAAAGCAGTATGTATTTTAATTCTGGCTTTCAAACACTTTTGAAAGCCCCACGAGGAAAGGCTGAGGGACTTGAGAATGTTCAGCTCTGACAGAACTACGGCTTGCCCAAGGTCATCCAGCAGCTGCAAGTGGAGGAGTGGGGAATCAAACCCGGTTCTCCCAGATTAAAGTCCGCGCACTTCACCACTCCACCAAAGAAGAGGAGGAGGAGGAGGAGATTGGATTTATACCCTGCCCTTCACTCGGAGTCTCAGAGCGGCTGACAAACTCCTTTCCCTTCCCCTCCCCACAACAGACACCCTGTGAGGTCGGTGGGGCTGAGAGAGCTCTTGACAGAAACTGCTCTTTCTTCAAGAACAGCTCTGACAGAACTACGGCTTGCCCAAGGTCGTCCAGCAGGTGCAAGTGGAGGAGTGGGGAATCCAACCCAGTTCTCCCAGATTAGAGTCCGCGCCCTTAACCACGACACCAAACTGGCTGTCACTTGGAGGAGGAGGGTAGGGAGCTCTTCCTGTTGGCAGCAGAGAGGACTCACAAGAAGGGGTTTGAATTAAGGGCGGGAAGGTAACAGCTGGATCTTAGGGGAAACTTTTTTACAGTCAGAGTCATGCCACAGTGGAATCAGCTGCGTTCAGAGGTGGTGAGCTCCCCCTCGCTGGCAGTCTTCAAGCAGCGGCTGGACAAACACTGGTCAGGGACACTCTACTAGGCAGATCCTGCATTGAGCAGGGGGATAGAATAGACGGCCTCTATATAGCCCAACGCTGTGTGATTTTATGATTCTATTATCATAATGGTTTCATAATGTAAGTGTATCAGGTCTCTTTTAGATGGGTAGCCGCCCTCGTATGGGCAGAAAGGTGGGATATAAATTTTGTAATGAATAATAACAACACGTATTATTTATTTTAAGTGGGGTTTTTTTAAAAAAAAATCTGCCTTTTCAATCAATCAGGGCCCCCCCAAGGCGGCACACATTAAAAATAAAGCCATGAAAAACAAGATTTAAAAATCTTTAATTTTATTTAGTTATTTATTAAATTGAATTTATGAGGCCGCCCTTCCCTGCAAGCAGGGCCCAGGGCAGCTTGCGACAGAAATAAATACAATAGTCAGTTTTAAAAAACCAAAATTAGAATACCTAAAGAATAAGAGGAAGATTGGATTTATTTTCCACCCTTCACTTGGAGTCTCAGAGCGGCTTATAAACTCCTCCCCCTCGCCCTCCCCACAACAGACACCCTGTGAGGTAGGTAGGGCTGAGAGAGCTCTGACAGAAACGGCTCTTGAGAGAACAGCTCTGAGAGAACTTGTGACTGACCCAAGGTCACCTAGTTGGCTGCATGCAAAGGAGTGGGAATCAAACCCGGTTCTCCTACATTAGAGTCTGCACACTTAACCAAGACACCAATAGAAGGAGGCAGACAAACCACCCCGGGGATTTTGGTGCTACAACCAAGAAGGCCCTTTCATGGGGTTGCCACCTGCAGACCCTGCATGGTCTCTGAAGACTGGCATGAGCGGGGGGGAGGGGGTGTCCTATGGCGAGCATACAGGGCTGCCTGCATGCCACTGGCAAAAAAGAAGCTTTGGGAGTGGAGGGGGCCTGGAAGAAGAAGAGAAGAAGAAGAGATTGGATGTATACCCCGCCCTTCACTACCTGAAGGAGTCTCAGAGCGGCTTACAAACTCCTTTCCCTTCCCCTCCCCACAACAGACACCCTGTGAGGCAGGTGGGGCTGAGAGAGCTCTTGACAGAAACTGCTCTTTTTCAAGGACAGCTCTTATCAGAGCTACGGCTTGCCCAAGGTCATCCAGCCAGGTGCAAGTGGAGGAGTGGGGAATCAAACCCGGCTCTCCCAGAATAAAGTCGCGCACTTAACCACCACACCAAACTGGCTCCAAAAAAGCACAGAGACCACCTATTCAATATGTCCAGTCTCCTTTTCCACTGCAGGACTCTAGAGAGCTTGTGTCTAAAGCACAACTTGGCCAGTGTCCCCTCTAAGCCGAGTCAGTGTGAGCTAGCCCACAGTTTTTTAGCCTCCGGCTCACACATTTTTGTCTTCGCTCAGGAAGGATGGGGCTCCAGAGCAAACTGATTTCTGCAGCAGCCAAATCGCTGTCTCACGACTTTAATGCTGGGAGTTCACAAAGCAGGATTTTTGCTCACGAGAGTCCACAGCTTAGAGGGGGCGTTGAACGTGACTGCCAAAAGACCCACCAAATATATTACCAACTTGGTAGCCATGCTGAAGAAGAAGAAAAGGAGGAGATTGGATTTATACCCCGCCCTTCACTACCTAAAGGTGTCTCAGAGCGGCTTACAAACTCCTTTCCCTTCCCCTCCCCACAACAGACACCCTGTGAGGCTGGTGGGGCTGAGAGAACTCTGACACAAACTGCTCTTTTTCAAGGACAGCTGTGCCAGAGCTTGTGACTGACCCAAGGTCACACCAGCAGGTGCAAGTGGAGGAGTGGGGAATCAAACCCGGTTCTCCCAGATTAGAGTCCGCGCACTTAACCACTACACCAAACTGGCGAAGAAAACCAGGCGTAATCCAAAAGTGGCAAAGCCAGATAAAATATACCCCAAAAGCAGAATTGAAACAGGCACGAAAAGAAAGGGATGTTGAACCGCAGACTGAGGGTTGGCGTTTGTGGCGTCCCCTGAATCGCTACTGTGGGAGACTCACCTGAACACGGCCTTGGTCCAGTCGGAGCCGCACTTGAATCCTTCGGCCCTGCAAAGGCAAGAAGGTTCTGGTGAAACCAAGAAAGCTTTGTTTGGCGCATTCCCGCCACCGTAATGCCAAGAGCCCAGAGGGCGAAACTGTTCCGCTGGAGCCTTCTGCTTCAGAAGCCAGCTTGCCAACGTTTGAGGAGATACCCTCAAGCCCAAGGACCAGAAAATGCTCCAGTTACAGGTAGTCCCGGGAGGGTAGCCGTGTTGGTCTGCAATAGAAGAACTGGATTTGAGTCCAGTAGTGCCTCGGAGACCAAGACGAATTTTGGGGTATAAGCTTTTGAGAGTCAACGTTTCATATCTGACGAAGGGAGCTTTGACTCTTGAAAGGTTGCACCCCCAAAAACTTGTTGGTCTCTAAGCTGCGACTGGACTGTAATCTAGAATTTACAGATGCATCCTGAATATACAAGGTGCTGGACATGGCTAAGTGGCAGAGCCTCTGCTTGGCATGCAGAAGGTCCCAGGTTCAATCCCTGGCATCTCCAGTTGAAAGGACCAGGCAGGAGGTGATGAGAAAGATCTCCGCCTGAGACCCTGGAGAGCTGTAATGAGGGGCTGTGGCTCAGTTGAAGAGCCTCTGCCTAGCATGCAGAAGATCCCAGGTTCAATCCCCGGCATCTCCCGTTGAAATGGACCAGGCAGGAAGTGATGGGAAAGACCTCCGCCTGAGAACCCTGGAGAGCAGCTGCCAGTCTGAGTAGACAATACTCACTTTGATGGACTGAGGGTCTGATTCAGTATAAGGCAAGTGCATGCCGGGGATGGAACCTGGGGCCTTCCACATGCCAATCAGAGGCTCTTCCACTGAGCCACGGCGCCTCCTTAACTATCCAGGGTCTCAGGCGGAAGTCTTTCCCATCACCTCCTGCCTGGTCCTTTTAACTGGAGATACTGAGGACTGAACTTGGGACCTTCTGCATGCAAAGCAGAGGCTCTTCCACTGAGCCACAGGCCCTCCATGGCTCTCCAGGGTCTCAGGCAGGGGTCTTTCCCATCACCTATAACCTGATCCTTTTTAACTGGAGATGCCAGGGATTGAACCTGGGGCCTTCTCCATGCAAAGCAGAGGCTATTCCACTGAGCCACAGCCCCTCCCTAGCTCTCCAAGGTCTCAGGCAGAGGTCTTTCCCATCACCTCCTGCCTGGTCCTGTTAACTGGAGATGCCGGGGATTGAACCTGGGACCTTCTGCATGCAAAGCAGAGGCTCTGCCACTGAGCCACAGCCCCTCTGTACAGCTCTCCAGGGTCTCAGGCAGAGGCCTTTCCCATCACCTCCTGCCTGGTCCTGTTAACTGGTAATGCCGGGGATTGAACTTGGGACCTTCTGCATGCCAAGCAGATGCTCTATCACTGGGCCATAGGCCCCTCCCTGAACAGACAAAGAGTCACAGAATCACAGAGTTGGACGGGGCCATTCAGTTTGGTGTGTTGGTTAAGTGCGCGGACTCTAATCTGGTAGAACCAGGTTTGATTCCCCACTCCTCCACTTGCACCTGCTGGATGACCTTGGGCAAGCCGTAGTTCTGTCAGAGCTGTTCTCTCAAGGGCAGTTCTCGAGAGAGCTCTCTCAGCCCCACCGACCTCACAGGGTGTCTGTTGTGGGTAGGGGAAGGGAAAGGAGGTTGTAAGTCGCTCTGAGACTCCGAGTGACGGGCGGGGTATAAATCCAATCTCTTCTTCTTCTTCCTCTTCCTCTTCTTCATCATACAGGCCATCTAATCCAACCTCCTGCTCAATGCAGGATCAGCCTAGAGCATCCCTTGCAAGTGGCTGATCCTGCATTGAGCAGAGGGGTGGACTAGATGGCCTGTACGGCCCCTTCCGACTCTGTGATTCTATGACTCTTTGTGCGTTTAGGGAGGCGTCATGGCTCAGTGGTATTGCCTCTGCTTGGCGTGCAGAAGGTCCCAGGTTCAATCCCTGGCATCTCCAGCTAAAAAGGACCAGGCAGGAGGTGATGGGAAAGACCTCAGCCTGAGACCCCGGAGAGCTGTAAAGAGGGGCCGTGGCTCAGTGGAAGAGCCTCTGCTTGGCACGCAGAAGGCCCCAGGTTCAATCCCCGGCATCTCCAGCTAAAAAGGACCAGGCTGTAGGGGATGGGAAAGACCTCCTCAGCCTGAGACCCTGGAGAGCTGCAAAGAGGGGGCCGTGGCTCAGTGGCAGAGCCTCTGCTTGGCGTGCAGAAGGTCCCAGGTTCAATCCCCGGCATCTCCAGCTAAAAAGGACCAGGCTGTAGGGGATGGGAAAGACCTCCTCAGCCTGAGACCCTGGAGAGCGGCTGCCAGTCTGAGTAGGCAGTCTTGACCTTGATGGGCTCAGGGTCTGACTCAGTAAAAGACAGCTTCATGTATCCATTCAATTTTTGCTCACGAGAGTCCACAGCTTAGAGGGGTCGTTGAACGTGACTTCCGAAACACCCACCAAATATATTACCAACCTCACACCAGCCATAAGGGGGCCATGAGAATTAACAGATGGGGGAATGAGGCCGGAAGCACAATGACCTTCCCTTTGGCAAACTCAGGCTGAATCACAGAGTTTGAAGGGACCATCAGAGGCCATCTAGTCCACCTCCTGCTCAATGCAGGATCAGCCTAGATCATCCCTGACACGGGTTTGTCCAGTCGCTGCTTAGAGACTGCCAGGGAGGGGGAGCTCACCCCCTCCCCAGGAAGCCCATTCCACTGCTGAACTACTCGTTTTTTGTAAAAAAAGTTTTCCCTTCCCGCCCTTGATTTAAACCCGTTCTTGCGAGTCCCCTCCTCTGCGGCCAACAGGAACAGCTCCCTGCCCTCTTCTAAGTGACAGCCCTTCAAAGACTTCAAGAGAGCCATCCTGTCCCCCCTCAACCTCCTCTTCTCCAGACTGAGCATCCCCAAGAAATCCCTCGGCCTTTCCTCCGAGGGCTTTTTGGTCTCCAGGCCCCCGATCATCCTCGCCACTCTCCTCTGCACCCGCTCCGTTCTGCCCACATCCTTTTCGAAGTGAGGCCTCCAGAACTGCACACAGGACTCTAGGGGTGGCCTGGCCAATGCAGTGTACAGCAGGACTATCACATCTTGCAATCTGGATGTTACTCCTCTGTTGATACACCCCAAGACCGCATTAGCCCTTTTTGCTGCTGCATCACACTGGCTGCTCAAACGGGCTCAGGCCTCCCCAGCCTGACACTCACCCTCCATCTCCTCAAATCAGCAGCCCAGTTGCCTCGGGGTCTCCAGCCCCTACCTGAACACCTGCCGGACGTTGTGCATGCGTAGATCGATGACTTTGAGGGCGTTGTCTCGGGAGCAGCTCAGCAGGTGCAGCTGGTCGGCGCTGATGCTCAAGGAAGTCACCTTGCCCTCCTCTGGAATCACCTGCGTGCAGCCGGGCTCCCTGGGGGGATAACAGAAGGGTGGGGCGGGCCATCAATTCTACAGGGAAGGCTTCAGAGGACATACATCGAGCGGCCACGTTTATTTGCCCATCATTAAAACCCACCAGAAGAGGAAAGCCCTGCATGCAAAACCGATCCTGTCGGGCCCGGGCCCGGGGACTCGGGAGCTCACCTGCTGTCCCAGAACCGGATCGTCTTGTCGTGGTGTCCGCTGATTATGACGGTGTCGCAGCAGGCGATGTCGTTGCAATAGGAGAAGACGTTGATGGTTCTGGAACCTGCCACGAGGACCGCAACGTGAGCCTGGGAGGGGCGGGGCAGGCCTCGACGAGAAAGGGCCAGCATCCCCCCCCCATGCACACACAGTGTGTTGCAGCGTTAGGGTCCCACACACCCCTCTGCCACTCACATGCTCCCTTGCACAAATCCCACTCCTTCACCGTCCGGTCTCGGCTGCCTGTCACCGCCTGGTGCCGGGTGGACCTGAACTTGGCCGCCGTCACCTTGTCTGCGTGACCGGTGAGGATCTCCTAGACAACAGGAGAGAGGGAGGGTTTTTTTAACATTTAATTCAGCTAGAAGAAGAGGGAGAAGAGTTTGCATTGATACCCCGCCCTTCACTCGGAGTCTCAGAGCGGCTTACAAACTCCTTTCCCATCCCCTCCCCACAACAGACACCCTGTGAGGTAGGCGGGGCTGAGAGAGCTCTGACAGAAACGGCTCTTTTCCAAGGACAGCTCTGAGAGAACTGTGGCTTGCCCAAGGTCATCCAGCAGCTGCAAGTGGAGGAGTGGAGAATCAAACCCGGTTCTCCCAGATTAGAGTCCGTACACTTAACCACTACACCACACTGGGGACCCAAAGCAGTCTTCGTTGTTCTTCTCTGCTCCGTTTCATCCTCGTAAGAACCCTGTGAGGTAGGCAAGGCTAAGGGAGTGTGACTGGCCCAAGGTCACCCAGCGAGCTTCCATGGAACAAGTGGGGATTCGAACCTGGTTTTCCAGATCCTAGTGTGACACTTGTAACCACTATACCACACTGCTTACAAGACAGATTACTTTTTAATGGCCCTTCCCATGTGGGTGTTAGTCAGACATGAAACTAGACAAGAAGAAGAAGAAGAAGAAGAAGAAGAAGAAGAAGAAGAAGAAGAAGAAGAAGAAGAAGAAGAAGAAGAAGAGGAGGAGGAAGAAGAGGAGGAGGAGGAGGAGGAGGAGGAGGAGGAGGAGGAGGAGGAGCATGTTTGATTACTACCAGGAGGAGGAGGAGGAGGAGGAAATTGGATTTATACCCCGTCCTTCACTACCCAAAGGAGTCTCAGAGCAGCTTACAATCTCCTTCTCCTCCACACAACAGGCACCTGGTGATGTAGGCAGGGCTGAGAGAGCCCTTTCGAGGACTGCTCCTGAGAGAACTGCTCTGAGAGAACTTGTCACTGACCCAAGGTCACACCAGCAGCTGCATGAGGAGGAGTGGGGGATCAAACCCGGCTCTCCCAGATTAAAGAATGAGCATCACCCCCTTCCCAGAAACACCACCTCGGGCCTTAAAAAGAAGTTTAAAGGACACTTTGTTCCAGAGGGTGGCTGTCTTGGTCTGCAGGAGGATGAGCCGGGTTCGAGTCCAGCAGCACCTTAGAGACGAGCAAGATTTCCAAGGCATGAGTTTTGGGGAGTCAAAACTCCCTTTGTCTGACTCCTCATCGTTTGACTCTACCCTGAAAAGCTCCGATCCTGAGAATCTTCTCTCTCAGGGGCTACTGGGCTCAAATCCAGCTCTGCAGAACCAGAGACACCAGAACCTCAATTAACTAATCAACGTTATTGCGCCCCTCAGGATAGTCCGAAGCCTTCCGTGTGAAGTCCCAGTTAGCGGCTGGATTTCATCGTACACGTTGTTTTGTTAAGGGCAGTGGAAGGCCCTTACTACGTAGAAAATTCACAACCACCTTCCCACTCCCCAGTGACCCCTGCTCTGTTAGGGGATCCTGGAGGGGTTTTTGTCATCTTCTGGGCGTGGAGCAGGGGGTCACTGGGGGTATGTATGGGGGGGAGGTATTTGTGAATTTCCTGCCTTCTGCAGGGGGTTGGACTAGATGACCCTGGAGGCCCCTTCCAACTCTATGATTCTATAAGATACAATTACATCCCTGGAATGACATTGCCTAGGAGTACCCAGTGGAAACCGCTCTGGTCAGCACACAGACTGTACCTGCTGCAGTGGCAGCGACACAGTGCCAGCAACAGACTGTACTTGCTGTGGCCACAGGGACACAGCACCAGGGACTGATTGTGCTTGCTGCGGCGGCAGGGACGCGGTGCCAGCAGCAACCAGCACTTAATCCTTACTGTTTGGGAAGGGCGCAACAGCAACAACAACAACCCCCCCCCAACAATTTCCAAAGGCATTCAGCTTTGGAGGTTAATTAAATGGCAACGTCTCTGCCTTGCCCCCCGGCAGCAACGAGGGTGATAATCTGCAGGCAGCAGGCAGCGAGGGCAAACAAGCGCAAGCCCTTCAAGGCCAAGGCGCCGGAAGCTTAACTGGTGACGCACATTTGAAGTGAACAGGGCAGAATTCCCCCAGCACCACCCCTATTCAACTGCAACATCATGTCTGTTAATTAGAGATCAGGCAATTAGATATGGGCCTAAGGAAGCTCCTGGGGGAGGAGGCGACATGCCCGACTTGGCAAACTGCTTGGAGAAGCGATCCTTTCCACTCGCTTGGCAGCACTTAAGCCTCTACCTTGGAGCACCATTAAGAACATAAGAGAAGCCAGTGTTGGATCAGGCCAAAGGCCCATCCAGGCCAACAGTCTGTGTCACACAGGGGCCAGAAATACCAGGGGCCATCAGGAGGTCCAGCAGTGGGGCCAGGACACTAGAAGCCCTCCCACTGTTGACCCCCCCCCCCAAGGACCAAGAAGACAGAACATCCCTTGACCCAGACAGAGAGTTCCCACCTATAGCTTGCGGCTAATGCCACTGACAGACCTCTGCTGCTGCATATCTATATATCTAATAGCGAAGGCGCCCCTGCATGCGGATATCTAAATCAGCACATTGGGGGCACCTGGGGGGGGGGGCAGGGAGATTTTCCTGCACACTTGGGGCAGTCCCCAGGTGTGCACAAAAATCTAAAAAGTTGAAAAAAATATAGGGGGGATATTTAAATTCCCCCAAAAGTAAAAGAGCCTTCCCTGCGCATACGCAGGGAACGCTCTGGGAACTCTGCGGCGGACTGGCGGTCGGAAGTCGCTCAGGCCTCGCCGCAGGGGGCGGGGAGAAGGAGTTCAGCGAGGCCACTTGGGCCTCGCCACCAGAGCTGGGGGGGGAAGAGGAGTTTGGTGGGGCCCAGCACCTAGCAGCCGCTCGGGCCTCGCCATCGGAGCCGGGGGGTGGGATGGAGGAGACTGGGGGAGGGGAGGTGGAGGAGATTGGCGAGGGTGTTCCCCATTACTATGAAAGAGGGTCTGCTGTCAAAGAGCGTAATTCAAGTCCAGTAGTGCCTTGGAGAGGGCGTTAAGACGCTGAAATGCAGACCGGAAGGTCGGTAGTTCAGCAGTTCGAGACCCGAGTGCCGCGTGACGGAGTGAGCTCCCGTCTCTGGTCCCAGCTCCTGCCAACCTAGCAGTTCGAAAGCAAGAAATTGCAAGGAGATAAATAGATATGGCTTCGGTGGGAAGGTAACAGTGTTCCATGCGCCTTGGTGTTTAGTCATGCCGGCTACGTGACCACGGAAACGTCTTCGGACAGCACTGGCTCTTTGGCTTGGAAACGGAGATGAGCACTGCACCCTCTAGAGCCGGATTCGACTGGCTTTCAAGCAACGGGGACCTTTACCTTAGCGCCTTGGAGACCCCTCCAGAGTTTCAGGGCATCAGCTTTTGAGACTCAACGCTCACACCGTCAGACACAAGCAGGGGAGAAATGGAGATCTGTGAGTCTTTCTATCCCAGTCGGAAGGTGGGAGGGGTGTTGTAAGGAATTCATTTATTTCGTCAACTAAATAAATAAACAAGAATGCTTGCATAGGATTCAATTATCTTGAGTTGATTCACGAGCGAAGAAGAAGAAGGAGAAGGAGAAGAAGAAGGAGAAGAAGGAGAAGAAGGAGAAGAAGGAGAAGGAGAAGAAGAAGGAGGAGAAGGAGAAGAAGGAGAAGAAGAAGGAGGAGAAGGAGAAGAAGGAGGAGGAGGAGGAGAAGGAGAAGGAGAAGAAGAAGAAGGAGGAGGAGGAGAAGAAGGAGAAGAAGGAGGAGGAGGAGAAGGTCTTCTTGTCAGAGGGCTTGAACTTCCAAGGGGGAAGTGCCTGTCCTTCTTTTAACACCCACCGACAGACACAAGCAGAGTAGAAATGGAGAAGCAGATACCCCCATGGCACCAGTGGAGATTCGAACCTGGGTCTCTTGGACATGAGTCCAGCAATATTAACCACCACACCATGGTGGCTCTCTCGCTGGTTTTTCAGCGATGGGCCCCCAGGCCACACCCAACCGACCCCCTTTCCCGAGCACTTCAAGGAAAACCCGGGCAAAACTCACGCGGCACTTTCCGTCTCCAATCTTCCACAGCTGAGCCACGTTGTTGTAGGAAGCGCCCAAGAGGTGATATCCCTGGGAGGGGGGGGGGAGAGAGGAAAGGGACAGTGGAGATCGGCGGCTTCCCATCGGCGTGGCTACCCGTCACGTCCGACGCTCCCTCTAAGCTGTGGGGTCTTGTGAGCAAAAATTCTACTTTTGTGAGCTCCTGGCATCAAAGTTGTGAGCGAGCCATTGGGCTGCTGCATCAATCAGTTTGCTCCGGAGCCACATCCCTTCCTGAGCTAAGGCAAACATGTGGGCCGGAGGCTAATGCAGAAGGTCCCAGGTTCAATCCCCGGCATCTCCAGCTAAAAGGACCAGGCCGGAGGTGATGGGAAAGAGCAATGAAATTGCTGAGCGGTCGGGTTAGAACGGATAAAAGGAAGTCCTTCTTCACCCAAAGAGTGATTAACACATGGAATTCACTGCCACAGGAAGTGGTGGCGGCTACAAGCATGGGCGGCTTCAAAAGGGAATTAGATGGGCATATGGAGCAGAGGTCCATCAGGGGCTATTAGCCACAAGGTATAGATAGGGGCTCTGGGGCAAGGGATGTTCTTGGTGCTGGGGGGGGGTCAACAGTGGGAGGGCTTCTAATGTCCTGGCCCCACTGCTGGACCCCCTGATGGCACCTGGTATTTTTGGCCACTGTGTGACACAGAGTGTTGGACTGGGTGGGCCTTTGGCCTGATCCAACATTGGCTGCTCTTACGTTCTTATGTTCTTAGACCCTGGAGAGCCATGTAGAGCGGCTGCAGCTCAGTGGCAGAGCCTCTGCTTGGCATGCAGATGGTCCCAGGCTCAATCCCCATTGTGAAGAAGTGGCCTGTATTTAGAATTTCAATAGCCCAATAGCCCAAGACACCTTTCTACTGGCTTCTGCAAGCTAAAATCTGCTCAGGTTTGACTCTCCTTACAAGTGGAAATTAGACAAGCCAGAGAGAACAAAGAGATACCTCGTCACACCCCAGCGGGAGAGTCCCACTTAGGAATATAGATTTTAGGTGACCAAAGAAGAAGAGGAGGAGATTGGATTTATACCCCACCTTTCACTACCCAAGGGAGTCTCAGAGCGGCTTACAAACTCCTTTCCCTTCCTCTTCCCACAACAGACACCCTGTGAGGTTGGCGGGGCTGAGAGAGCTCTGAAAGAACTGCTCCTGAGAGGACGGCTCTGAGAGAACTTGTGACTGACCCAAGGTCACCCAGCAGCTGCATGTGGAGGAGTGGGGAAACCAACCCGGCTCTCCCAGATTAGAGTCCGCGCTCCTAACCGGCTTCTTGAGTGCTTCCTTGTGTCTTTCCTGAATCTCCACCCTTCAGCTTCAGCGGAGGGCTCTGGGTTCTAATACTGAGGAGGAGGAGAACTGTTTCTCCCCGTTCGTTCTCTCCATCCCATGCATAATTTTATACACCTCTATCATGTCGCCCCCAACTCGCCTTCTGTCTAAGCCAAACAGACCTAAGCGTTTTAACCGATACTCGTAACCCAGTCGCTCTAGTCCCCCGAGTGTGACCACGCTGATTTCTCGTTTCTGCACCTTTTCAAGCTCTACAACCGGGGTGTCGAACTCATTTGGTGTAGTGGTTTGCGTGCAAACTCTAAGCTGGGATGAACCGGGTTTGATTCCCCCACTCCTCCACTTGCACCTGCTGGATGACCTTGGGCAAGCCGTACTTCTGGCACAGCTGTTCTTGAAAAGGAGCCGTTTCTGTCAGAGTTCCCTCAGCCCCACCTACCTCACAGGGTGTCTGTTGTGGGGAGGGGAAGGAGTTTGTAAGATGCTCTGAGACTCCCTTGGGTAGTGAAGGGCAGGGTATAAATCCAATCTCCTTTTCTTCTTCATTTGTTATGAGGGCCAGATCTCACATAAATGAGACCTTCTCAGGCCGGGCCACGTGTGTCATAAAATGTAATGCCAGGTAGCGGAGATATAAACTTTATAAAGGACACAAACACAAAGGGGTTCTTTTTCCTTAAAATAAAAACATGCTTAAAACAGTAGCACTCTTGCGATATTTTGTTCATTGAACAGTGTCTGATAACTGACAACTGACACTTCTTGCTCTGAATTATGGCATCAAAATGTCTGTGCTGTTGCAATCCTGAGTGTGCTGTTCAGGCGTGTTATCTGTCAGCTGCAAACCTACGATGACGCAGCAGCAGCAGAACCGGAAGAAGAAGCAGAAGACAGCCAGTTCCACTGCGGGCCTGAGAGAAGCCCTCCGGGGGCCTGATCCGGCCCCTGGGCCACACGTTTGACACCCCTGCTCTACAATATCCATTTTCAGGTGCGGTGATCAGAAATGAACACAGCATTCCCAGTGTGGTCTCGCTGTGAATTTGTATAAGGGCAGGATGAGAGTGGCAGCTTTATTTTCTGTTCCTGTTCTAATTACGGCCAGCATGGAATTTGCGTCTCTCTCAGCAGCCTCACGCTGGGTTGACATTTTCCATCAAGCTTACTCTGGATACTGTGTACAGTTCTGGCCACCGTATCTCCAAAAGGACATTGCAGAGCTGGGAAAAGCAGTGACCAAGATGATGAGGGGGGTTGGAGGCACCTTCCCTAGGAGGAAAGAATCTGGGACTTTTCAGTTTAGAAAAGAGATGGCTAAAGGGGAACGTGATAAAGGTTTGTTCAATGATGCACAGAGTGGAGAGAGTTGAGAAAGAGGAAACTTCCTCCCTCTCCCAAAAGGACAAAAGGAAATACCACTCTATACAGAGCGATTAAAATGTGGAATTCGCTGCCAGAGGATGGAGTTACGGCCATGGGAATAGACAGCTTTAAAAGGGGATTAGGCAGATTCGTAAAAGATAGGTCTATCAGTGGCTGCTAGCTATGGTGACTGAGGCGAAGGGACCTGCATATTCAGAGGCACTAATCCTCTGAATCCCAGAGCCAGGAGGCAACATCTGAGGAAGGCCTCGGCCTCCATGCCCTGTTGTTGGCCTTCCAGAGGAACGGGTTGGCCCCTGTGTGAGACAGTATGCTGGACTAGATGGACCCTCACCGGTCTGATCCAGCAGGGCTCTTCTTAGGTTCTTCTCAGGGGAAGGCCTCGGCCTCTCTGCCCTGTTGTTGGCCCTCCGGAGGAACTGGCTGGCCACTGTGTGAGACGGGAGGCTGGACTGGATGGACCCTCACTGGTCTGACCCAGCAGGGCTCTTCTTACATTCTTAAGTGCAAAACAGAAACCCCAGCCAAGGCTTAATTTGAGCTAGAAACTGAGCAGAACTACACCCCAGGGTATATTTACCACCCCACCCCTGAATATACTTTGCAGGGAAGAGACCAATGAGTATGCCTTGCAAGGAGAGAGTACAGTCTCCAAGCAGAAGCACCTTGCAGTGTAGCTGTCCAGCACCACCCAAAAAACCAGCAGGACTCTACATGGAGGGTCCCACTCACCGACGGGTCGAAGTCGAGGCTGGTGATGCCCCCAGTAGCTCCTTCCAGCATCTGCATGTGCTCAAGGCGACCTGAAAAGAAGAAGAAGAGGAAGAGATTGGATTTATACCCCGCCCTTCACTACCCAAGGGAGTCTCAGAGGGGCTCACAAACTCCTTTCCCTTCCCCTCCCAACAGACACCCTGTGAGGCAGGTAGGGCTGAGAGAGGTCTGACAGAAACGGCTCTTTTTCAAGAACAACTGTGCCAGAGCTTGTGACTGACCCAAGGTCACATCAGCAGGTGTAAGTGGAGGAGTGGGGAATCAAACCCGGTTCTCCCAGATTAGAGTCCGCAAACTTAACCACTACACCAAACTGGCTTTAACCTTTCTTCACAGAAGAAGAAGGGATTGAATTTATACCCTGCCCTTCACTACTCGAAGGAGTCTCAGAGCGATTTAAAATCCCCTTCCCCTTCCCCTCCCCAAAACAGACACGCTGTGAGGTAGGTGGGGCTGAGAGAGCTTGTGAGAGGACAGCTCTGAGAGAGCTTGTGACTGACCCAAGGTCACCCAGCTGGCTGCATGCAGAAGAGCGGGGAATCGAACCCGGTTCTCCCAGATTAGAGTCTGCGCTCTTAACCACTACACCAAACTGGCTCTCAACGGGAAGCTGTTCATCCCTTTAATCATATATTTGCCCTTTTGATCATTTTAGTTGCCCTTTTAATCCTTTTAAGTGCCACCAGAACAGACTCCCCAAACGCTGAATGCGGCTGACGCCACTTCGATGCAAAACCTCCTTTTAGAGTCACCTGGCCGAACCATCCTTTTTCCGGTGGGGCGATTTTTTTAAAAACACAAATTTTATTTAATGCCTTCTCAAAGCACAAGACCACCAAGACCAGAAAAGGCTCATAGAAACACACAGTTTGTTGGCAGTGCATGGAGAAACAAAAAAGAGGCATTTAGACACATCGACAAAGGCTCTAGCGGTGCAGTCGCCGTAACTATTTAAAACTGCTCGTGCTACCCAGGCCGACGGAACAAAGAGACAGCTGGAGAGAACGACTTAATTAAACTTCACAAACACAGCGACGACCAAACACAGAGCTCCAAGAAGCAAGCGCAGGATGTGGTAAACTATCTTTGCCCTTTAAAAATGTGGTTTCCAGGGAGCAGCGAAACAAAAACAAACTCCCGTGGTTTAAGAAGAGAGAGAAGAAGAAATTGGATTTATACCTTGCCCTTCACTACCCGAAGGAGTCTCAGAGCGGCTGACAAACTCCTTTCCCTTCCCCTCCCCTCCCCACAACAGGCACCCTGTGAGGTCGGCGGGGCTGAGAGAGCTCTTTTGAGGACTGCCCTTGAGAGAACAGCCCTGAGAGAATTTATGACTGAAGACGAAGAGACTGGATTTATACCCCGCCCTTCACTCGGAGTCTCAGAGCGGCTTACCATCTCCTTTCCCTCCCCCTCCCCACAACAGACACCCTGTGAGGTGGGTGGGGCTGAGAGAGCTCTGACACAAACTGCTCTTTCAGGAACAGCTGTGCCAGAGCTTGTGACTGACCCAAGGTCACATCAGCAGGTGCAAGTGGAGGAGTGGGGTTCTCCCAGATTAGAGTCCACACATTTAACCACTACACCAAACTGGCTTACTTGGAATACTGTGTACAGTTCTGGCCACCGTATCTCTTTTGTCATAGGGAAAGTGTTCCAACCCTTTTATCATTCGAGTTGCCCTTTTCTGCACTTTTTCCAAAGCTATAATATTCTTTTTAAGGTGTGGTGACCAGAACTGCACACACCAGAGGTTGTTCCACCAGAGGTTGTAATATTTCGTTTAGTTGTACATTAAGATTTTCTAAAGTAGATTGTTCTGTCTTTTGCAATGCCGATTTCAAAGCTGCCTGCAACGTTTTAACTGTAACCGGTTCATTGCCTTGGTCTTTTTTCTTTGTCGCGCTGTGTTCCGATGCCATTTTGATTTGGCGTGTAAGCGCACCGTTAGGCTGCTTCATCTGCGTTGGCGAGGTTAAGGCTTGTAGAAAGTTTTTAATGGGACTTCCGGTACGGCGTTGAACCGGGCGGGCGCGTTGCGCTTCGCCGGAGCCTCCGTGGCTCCTAGGAGTCCCCCTGGGCGACCTGGGTGGGCTTCTCCTGACCCTCCTGGAGGGAGGGTTGGCAACAGAGGGCTTGTGGTGGCCCCTCCCCGAATTCGGCAAACGGAGAGGTGTCCGTCAGTGCCCAGAAGCGGGACCGCGGTATGGCGGAGGCAGGGTCTCCCATGCCTCTAAGCAACGACCATCCGGACTTTTAAACTGGTGGATTACTTTTGATTTTGAGCATTGGCTTCCGTATCACACGTTGGATATCTGATGGTTTGCACTTTTTTCGAAATGGAACTCTACCGCCTCTTGTTAGGACCCTCCCTACTCGTGTAAGAAAAACGGCCAGAGAAGGTACAAGGGAACTGAGAGGGGGAAAAAAGGCTCGAGGGGGTAAGAGTTAAAACTGTTACTGGAAATAATATGTGTTTTACTTGGCAAAATCGATAAAAATTAATAGAACTGTTGCTTTGGAAGTGCTAAGGAACGTTTGTACTATATATTTAAAAAAGCACCTTCAGAGATTGGTGAAACCAGATGAGAAAATGGCGGCAGCATCTATTTGCGAGGAAGTAATTTTGAAACTTAAAGAGGAACTTAGATCAGAACAGTTTCAAGAAAGCTTGAGAGATGAAATAGGTAAAGCATGGCAATTGGTATGGGACAAGGCTTTTGGAAATTCCCAGCCTTTCGGTGTAGCAGACAAAGGCATTGAAGAACCAACTCAAGAGATACAAGCTCAAATTGGCTCGCAGGAGGTGACACAGACACAGACTGAAAAATGGCAAGAAATGCAGCCCGAGCTGCAACATTTACAGACAGAAGCAGGGATAAAAGAAACAGCTCTGATAAGAGGGACATTGGAAAGTGGGGAAAAGCAAAAAAAAAGAAGGACAAAAAAACGGTGGCTTAAGTCTTCTAGGAAAGGAAAAATTGCAGAAAAGAGGGGGAAAATAAAGAAAAATATGAACAAATTTGGAGACATCAATCAACTGAACGGGGACGGAAATATTTATGGAAAGGGCCACTCACTGAATATACTAAAGGAGTATAAAAACGCTCGGCATCTGCGAGAAAACGGAGAAAATCAACTTAAAAAGGAACATTTTGTGTTTCATAACAGACAGGAAGTACACGGAAAAGAGATGGGTTAAGTGCAGAGGGGCCAACGTTAGTATGGATAGCAGAAATATCTTGGTGAAGTAACTGTATAAGGAAATGGAGTTAGTTTGTAACTAAATAAATTTTGATGTTGGCATGTGTAGCACTAATATTTGTATGAAAT